CATAGATATAGATTGAGAGTAAAACAATACAAAAAGATATTCCATACAAACTGAAACCAAAAGAGAGCTGGAATGGCTATACTAGTACCATATAAAATAGACTTTAATACAAAGATGTTGCTAGTGAAGAGATGGCAGGAAAACTAGAGGAAACTTCTAACTTCTAGTTGACTGGAACTTGGGGTAGAGGTCATGGCTGAAAATATAAGTGATGACAGGGACTATGTTTTATTAAATTTTAATCCCCATACTAATTCAGAGCTTCAAGTATAATAGGTATTTAGTAAATTTTGGTTGACTGAATAAGTTTATGTATGAACTCTTAGTCATTCCCATAGAAGTGACAGTGAAGCTATAATTTAAGATGAGATCTATGGAGAATACAGAATGAAGAGAGAGCAAATAACAAAATCATGGAAAACATGGGAAAGGTTAATATTTGTGAGGCAGAAAGAGAACTGAGTCATTCAAAGAGAAAGAAAAGCAAGAGTTGGGATTAAAGGAAATGCAGGAAGGTATGGAGGGCGAGGATTGGGAGATTTTCAAAAGAGTACAGGACACACACATATTGTATTAATATGGTGTGTATATAATACAAGCATATAGAATCTTCATACACACATTATGCTGTATACAATCAAAATAATCAACCACACACGTCACCCTTTAAGTGCTCCACAGTCAAGTCTGAATTGGAGTTTTTTCCGACTGCTGAACGGGAATACTTAATTCTCCTGACATCCTAAATCATAGTGTATATATACCCTTCACTAGCCTGTGAATACTAGAAGTGTTCAGGAGAATCATGGATATTAAGAGGCATTGCCTCCTTGCTCAGTGTTTGGACATCTCTCTTCTAAATAACGGCTCTCCTGCTTTGCCCTATCTGTACTCCCTTAATGTATACAAGTCTTTTTCTTCTGAAAAATAGCTCAAATGTCTTGTGTATATTGCAATAAAACTTCTGGCAAGCCAAGAAACAAATGATGCTACATGAATTTGAAGTTGGAGGATTTTAGCTATTTCAAGAAATGCTTTCTTCAGCAGGAACACTAGTCTTTGTCTTAAATCAAGGAGAAAGGGGAAAGGAAATGGAGAGATGAAGTAGAAACTGACTAGCATTTCATCAATTTGTTCCCTAGGACTGTAATGTAATGATACCAAGACACTCTTATTAGCCGTAGCTTCTCTGGGTTTTTCCTTTTTTTTTCTTTCTTCTTGCTTGGATTGCTAACGTTGACACATTATCCAGTTTGTTTCAGGAAGACACATATAATTGTGGTGTATGAACTATTTGCTACTCTAATTTCTACTAAATAAATCAGTGCTCAGACTCTCTGTTTGCCAAGAATGAGAAAATGCTGCAGCTCAGATTTAATTATTCTCAGTTGTTGGGTGGACATCTATTGCTTGAGGTGGTATTTTTAGGTTTTAGGTGGCCAACACCCAATCCCCCTTCTTCAGGTAGGAACACCTGACTTGCTTTAGCAAACCAGCCTTTCTGCTTTCCAGTTCACGAGGGTCTAGCTGTCTGACTCCAGAGGTAGTTACATGAGCCAAACTTGGCCAATCAAATATTCTGGCTCTAGAATCGGACTCTTGAACAGAATAACAGTTTGCTCAAAATGGTAGTAGCTCACTTTTCCCTTGGATCTGGCCACCGTGCATGCCAGAGCCCCCCTGGTTTCTGGTCTTCCTCTAATTGAAAGTATTTTGTTTGATTCTGGGAACCATCCAAATCTCTTCCAATAAATCCAAGTTCAAAGTTTGTCTCTTAAGTTATCTTCAGTATGTTCCTTACAACCAAAAAGAAAGGAAAAAATAACCTAACTGATATATTGGAAAACATTTTATTTAAAAACACAACACATAATAGACCAGCTATCAAGCACTACCCAAACTGAGGTCCATCACCAAGGTGCCACTGTGATGTGGTGAGACCAAGTTTTAGCAAACATCCCGGAATTTGCAACTTCCAAACCGAAGTTTTCCCACTCTAAGGATGCCTTGCTGGAAATACCTTTAGATGTCTGATTAATACCTTTATTCTCTTTTTTAACACTTCTTCAATCTAAGGATGATTTACTTTTACAACTTTTCTCTCATTTCTTTACTCCTTCCTTACGGTCACTAGAGGGGCAGCATTATAATTTTATTTCAAAGTATTTTTATTTCTTTTCAGAGTAACATGTTGCCTTTCACAAAATTTCTTTTATTTTTAACACTTCAGTATTTTAGTACTTCAAATCATACATTATCTGCACACTCATTAATAATGAGTAACTGATCTTCTTGCCCAGTAGAAATATAATGTGAGACACATATGTGATTTTAAATTTCTCAGTAGCCACATTCAAAAAAGGCAAAAAGAAGATGAAATAAATTTTAACAATATATTTTACTTAACCAAATACATCTAAAATAATATTTCAACATGAAATCAATATAAAAATATTAATGAGACATTCTACATTCTTTATATACTAAGTCTTTGAAATCCAATATATATTTTATACTTAGAGCACATCTCAATTCAGATGCAAATTTCAATCAGAAATACTAGGTCTGTATATAAATTTTATAAATTTTAAAGTTGAAAAAGTAGATTCACATACCCAAGTTGTTCCAAACATACTTAAAGCTTTCTTATAACCGAATTGAGCACTAGTTTGTAAATTAAGTTAATTACAATTAAATGAAATTAAAAATTCAGTTTCTCAACTACGCTAGCCACATTTGAGGTGCTCATTTCATGTGGCTAAAGGATACTGTTTGGACCTCACAGGTTTAGCAGAAGTGTCTAGGCACGTGTGTTGACCTAGGTGGGGAGAGATGTTCAAACATCTCTCAGATCTGATTCATGAGGTTTTGGTGTTTTAAAATTTCACAATAACTTTTATTATTGAAAGATATAAAGATTTATTCTTGAGATATGTTGAGCTTCATTGAACTGTGAGTTTTTAGTTTTCACCAAATTTGGAAATTTTTCAGCCATTATTTCTTCACAGGATTTTTTCTATCCTATCCCCCCCCCCAGAGACACCCCCCCCCCCACACACAAACCATCCACCCAGCCCACCACCACCATTCCAAGACTCCAATTACCTGGATGTCAGGCAGCTTAATATGATCTCACAGCTTAATCTTGGTCTATTTTTTTCTCTTCGTATTTTATTTAGAATAATTTCTGTTACTATGTCTTCAAGTTCAGTAACCTTTTCTTCTGCAATGTCTAATCAGATATTAATCTCATCCACTATATTCTGTATTTTTCATTTCAGATAATATATTTTTCATCTCTAGAATTTTGAGTCTTTTTTTTATATCTGCTGTTTCTCTGTTCATTGATGATCATGCTTTCCTCTCCTTTCTCAAACATATGGAGTATATTTATTATAGCAGTTTCAATGAACATAAGGAGAATATTTATAATAGTTGTTTTAATATCGCTTGTCTTACAATTCTATCATCTATGTCATTTCTGAGTCTGTTCCCAATCTTCATTCCTCCCCTAGTCATGGGTTGTTTATCCTGCATCTTTGCATGCCTGAAAATTTTTGATTAGATGACAGACTTTGTGAATTTTACGATATTGGGGCCAGGGTTTTATTTTAGTTGTTTTATTGTTGTTACTTGTTAGCTTTTACATTCCTTTAAGTATTTTGGAGTCTTGTTCTGGGATGTAGTTAAGTTGCTTGGAATCATTTCATCCTTTTGAAGCTTGCTTTTAAGCTTTTTAGGGTAGGTCCAGAGCCACCTTTAGTCTAGGCATAATTTGACCTCACTCCTGAGGCAAGAACCTTCTGAGGACTCAGTCTGATGCTCCCTGTATTAGGTGGTCTTTCCACTATGACTAGCGAGAACACAAACTGCTCCTGGCCCTGTGTGAGCTCTGGGGATTGAGCTGCCTACTTTTTCCCAGTGTTTCTTCTTGGCCTCAGTGGTTTCCTCATACATGTACGCAGATCCGTTCTCAGTCAAAGACTTGCAGGGGCCCCTCTGCAGATCCCCAGAGTGCTCTCTCGCTCGCTCGCTCTCTCTGTGCAGCAATCTCTTCTCCAAGAACCCTCCCCACAGGTCTCCTCCATGCAGTGAGAGCACCAGGCTCTGCGGGGTTCCTCTTGCCTGTGAAGGCAGTGTGCTGGGTACTGGAAACACTCGCTTCATTTGTTTCCCTCTCTCAGGAGTCACAGTCAAGTGCTGCCTGCCGTCCACTATCTGGAAACTGTCGTTTCACATATTCTGTCCAGTTTTCGAGTTGTCTGAGGGTAAAAGGTAAATCCAGTTCCTGTTATCCTATCGTGGCCCAAAAGATGTAAAAACTTAATAGTCATTCATTTAGTAAATGTTTACTGCATGCCTGCTGTGTATGAGGAACTGTGCAGAGTACTGGGGATACACTATTGAACGGAAAGAGATACGGTCCGTGCCCTCACTGGGGGTTACCACAGCCTAGCAGGCAAGAACAATAACTGAGCAATCATTCAAGTGAATATGCAACATAGACCATGATAGGTGACAGGAGAGGAAGTAGAGTGCTATGAAAGCACAGAATGGGGAGACTCGATTTAGCCTGTGCAATCAGCAGAAGTTGCCCAAAACAAAGAACATTTTAACTAAGACTTAAGGACTATGTAAGATTTGGTATCTGTGTTGTGGAGGGTGGGAGGACTGCTAGGAAGAATAGCATATGCAAAAGGCCTGTGGCAAGATGGAACCACCAGAGATCCTTGAGTCCGACCCTTAGATTTCCCGATAAAGTAACAAAGACGCAGAGTTTATGACATGTCGAGTCATACTGTGTTAGAGGCAGTACAGAGACTAGAACCCAGGACTCCAACTCCAGGTCCAGTGCTCTTTCTATCCCAATATGTTGCTAAGCAAATGTAGGGAATCCTAGAACATTTTACACAATATTTGTCATTTTATGGCCCATGACATATTACGGGCAATATATAATTTTGTAATTTGCTTTCATTTAAAAATAACTATGGCCAAAATTTTCTTCAAGATATACTTTTAATTGCCTATATTTTTATGTATTTACAAAGAATATGCTTTAAAGTGTAAATAAATGTACAAGAGAGCACAAAACAGAAGAGAAGGCACATTCACACATTTAGCACGCCGAAGCCATAACGGCATCATAACGGCTTGGGAGTGCTAATGCGGGTCCCCACATGCCTGAATCACACCCAGGAGATTCTGGCTCGGCAGTCTAAGCTGTTAGTGCTTTCAGACACTTTGGGAAATGCATCCATTGCCCCATTCCAAGCTTAATTGGCATAATAAATGCCAATTAAAGCTCCTTTAAGATTTTAAACTGCAAAACTCAAGTGAAACTATTTATGTACAGAGCAAACAAGACGTCTCTCCAAGAAGTCTCTCCTGAAAGAGACACTCTCCACAGTGCATTTACATTTCCCATGGGCTCCATCTCTTCCAACACGGAGGCACACAGCAAACGTGCATTTGCATAGAAAGGAAAGTGATTTTCCCTAGCCATTCTAAATGTATCACTCTGAAATGGCTTATAAATCGTCATATGTTTTATGTGTTCATAGAACTCCGTTTTCTTTCAACAAATATATATAGAACACCAACTATGTGCCAGGACGGGAAATATGGCAGTGAACATGGTGGAATGCCCCCTCCATCAATACGGAGGGATCTGCCGAGACACCGCCAGGAAGCCCCTCTGCATCCCTGACTCTATGTCTGCACACCACTCCTTTTTACACTTTACTTAGGAGGCTTAAAAGACAATTATTCATCCAGTGTAATTATAAAACAGAGTCTCTGTTAACGTCTGAACTTGGCAAAAATATTTTTTATGTCTTTTGTAGAACTGTTAATGCAGGTGTCAAAAAATTTCATTTCAGTTTAAGTAGCCCAAGCTGATAATTTTTTGATGTCATCATCGTCTTCTTCTGCCCTCCTGGAAGATGCTGGAACATAAAATGGAAAAAAAGAAATGAGTAATTAGTGACATTCACACTTTCACCACAGAAAACAGGTATGGTATGAATTATGTATGAAAAGGTATACATTTATGAAATAAAAAATAAGTGCTAAAAGGGATGGACCCGGCAACTACTTAGGCAACTGTCGCAGGTCACTGAGGTGGGGACAGACCTGCTCGGGATCGATGTGCAGTGGAGGACATTCCTGGCATTCTGCCTGGCATTCTGCTTGGCATTCTCTCTGGCATTCTCTCTGGCTGTGCTGGGAGGGAGGAGGAAGGCACGCTTGGAAGTCGGATATTTGTCATCTTCTTATTTAATTCCTCCTGCTCCAGTTCCTCAAGTTCTGCCATCAACTCATCCTGAACAAAGGAGAAAGAAAGAATTATGGAGTTAATGTTTCAAGAAGTGGGTTTCCTCTAACACAATAACAAGAACATCTGCTACCCAATTGATATGTGAGAACCCAGTGAAATGGAATATTTATTTTAAGACTAAATCTTTTTTGCAACACTGAGCAATGATTAGAAAATGAATATTTGGGGTTGTGCAAATTTGTTGTAGTTAATCTTATAATACTTCAGTAAACAGTTATTCAAGTAGTTTGTGCTAGCTTAACATATAACCTCAACAGTTTCTAAGAAATTTACACCTTGCCTGTCATTTTTTCAGTGTATTTTTTCTTTTCTCCTGTTAAAAATTAAGAATCTGTGAAACTTTAATTTGAGAAATAAATACTTTCATTTGGGCTGATGCTATTGAAAATAAAACAATAGGTATAGCAAAACCATAACTACAGAAAGTAAAAAGAACCAAAGATATCATGGTTCCTTTGTTAAACTACCAAAGCCAATACAAATCATGCTGTGTGCTTGGGTTCAGAAAGCTTCAACTCCAGGTAGGTGCATGGTATTTCTTTCTTTTAGCAACAGTCCCAAAGACTGGTTTAATCCCGAAGTATTCTCTGTCCCAAGAACCTTACAGAGGCAAGACCGTTTGAGACTTTAAGGGTACAAGTCACCTTACGACAGATCTGAGACGACTCGCGGTGGTTTAGGCCTAACTGGCTCCAGGAGTCCTCAGGTGGAGTCCATCCCTCCAGGAGAGAGGTTGGGAGTCAAAACTAAACTTGTTATCATTGGAATTCTGAAGTTGTCACTATCAGAAATAACTTAGGACACTCTTACATTCAACCAAGTAGATCTTTATTCATTCATTCATCATTGAACAAATTTATTGAGAGCTCACTCCTGGCCAGGTGTTGAACTCAATACTGGGGATGCAAAGTTGAATCAACAGTCCCTACACTTAAGAAGCTTATGATCCAATGTGGGAGAAAGGCACATAAATAAATAATTGTGCTAAATTAAAATGAGGGAGACACTACTATGGGCCAAGAGAAGAGATGCTTATGTCAACCAAAACATTTGATCCAGCCAGGGGGTATCAGACATGCAGCTAGCTGAATGACTGTCTGACCTCTGTGCAATCTACCTCATGAAAAGGAAATAAAACAGGAAAGTGGGTAGTATCAGGCTGTGTGAAATAGTACACTCAGTGTAGCCGTGTGCCTTCTGGTTCTCCACAGGCTCCATGGATAACAGGCCTTCAGAATGAACACTCTGATGTCCTATTTCTGCCCACAAAACACTTAGGAACAGACACCGTAAATGCCAGAATGGCAGAACTCGCTGTCCTACACTGCATGCGTGCCCAGAACTGCTGATGTTGCCTAACAGTTATCAACATCACCAAAAAGACATTATTTTCTTTAGTAAATATGATGATGACAGAATAATTATCTCCTCCATCATTTTCAGCCTTCAGGCACCAAACATTTATTCAATCATGGATAAAATAATTTTAGAATTTAAGAAACTTTAGAGATAATCCAGTGATCCAGTAATTTTCAATTTATAGATGAGAAAACTAAAAGTCAGAAAAATGAAGGGACTTACACAAAGCTTAGTACTAACAGGTAGAACCCAGATGTCCTCATGAGCCCAGAGCCCTTTTCTCCATATCATAATGCACTCATTAACAACTAGAAGGACCCACAATGAAGAATATACAACTATGTACCGGGGGCCTTGGGGAGAAAAAGGAAAAAAATAAAATCTTTAAAAAAAAAAAAATAATGCACTCATTAGATGCTTGCAAGTCTAACCAGGGGCTGGCAACCTTTTTCTGTAAAGGGCAAGATAGCAATATTTAAGGCTTTGCAGGCCACATATGGTCTCTGTTGTATAGTCTTCTTTGTTGCTATTGTTATTGATGTTATTGCCTTCTACAATCCTTTAAATATGTGAAAACCATCCTTAGTTCACAGGCCATACATAAAAAGCCATGAGAATGATTTGGCCTGAAAACCAAATTTTTCCAATGCCTAGTCTATACATTTTTTTTTTTTTTTGGTGAGGAAGACTGACCCTGAGCTAACATCTATTGTTAATCTTCCTCTTTTTCGCTTGAGGAAGATTGTCACTGAGCCCACATCTGTGTCAATCTTCCTCTATTTTTTTAACGTGGGACACTGCCACAGCATGGCTTGATGAGCAGTACATAGGTCCACACCGGGGATCTGAACCCATGAAGCCCGGGCCACCAAAGCAGAGTACATGAACTTAACCACTACGCCACTGGGCCAGGCCCAATCATTTTAAAAAAGTGTTGACACTACTACTCATTTTCTGGGATTCTGTGGAACTAAATCTTACTGATGAGATGTATCATTTTTAATACCACACAGATGTAGGAAGTCAGATTCTTTGCCATGCCAATCTGAGAGCTGGAAACATTTCAAAATATGTACTAGTCCTACTTGTGTGTGCTTTGAGTAGAACAATTGAAATTCACAGTGCAGACACCACCATTATAATTATAGTCTGTATTATTGGACTGATTAATCTAAATGGAATGTGTGTGTTAATAATGCCACTCCACATTTATTTTGTTTTATAGCCTGAGTAATAACCAGAGGCAGCCTAACCTCTAATTTGACAGCTACAGAGCATGACACGTCTGTTCCTTACAGACTGACACAGTCTGCTTTGTTTTGCCCAGATGCGTGAGCACGCGATTCCTCGTAATGGGGCTATTCAGGCTTCAACCATTAAAAGTCACTAACTTTACATAACCACATGCTGCTTTTCCTTAATAGCTGAAAACTTAATTAGGAGCTGTTTACCAAACTGTATTAATCTTTCCTTTAAATCAGAGCTACCAACACTTTGTTTCCCTCTTAAGTGAAGGACATGTCTAACAAATATCATTTATTCCTTAATGATACTTAAGGCAGGATTTAGGGAAACCTGCCTGCTGTATACGGTGGGCAGCTACCCTTTCTGGCAACCACAATCCTCCATTGCTCATATTGTGTTACCCACCTCATCGAAGCCATCGGCAAATCCAACCCGCTGAGAAAAGGCTTCGGAGATTTCTTGGGCAATGTCCTGCTGCTCTGTGATCTCCTGCATCAAATCATCTATTTTGTTCAGATCCCTGCAAAATAATATTTTGTTGAAATATTTTCAAGTTTTATTTTAAAGTTATGAATTTAGATATAACCCCATACAAAAAACGAGTCAATTTAACATAAACTCTTAGTTATTTCAGTAGAATAACAAAAATTCTTAGTGGTAATATGCATTATCTTTAAAAATTAATAATCCTGTAGATGCACATATGGGGCACATGTAGGGCATATGTAAAATTTAAATATACGCTGCTCTGTATCAACTCTGCAGGAAATGGTGCCATGGACCGCCAGAGACCACCAGGACTAGTACAAGCTGTGGCAGCTCCCAGCAGCTGCTATCCGACAGCAGCCTTTTGTAGAAACTCAACTCTGGAACGAGAGATCTCTTTTCTAGAAGCCTAGTAATTCAGAGATCCTGATGGCCTGAGGACTTTCTCACAGCTGCTGCAGCCCTGGGAGATTACTGATGAGAGCAGGATTAGGCCCACAAAGCCCTCAGAAGAATCAGCAGTTTCAGCAAAGGAATCGCATAGCCATAGGCCCAGGACAGACAGCTATTTCAAAGACAGTTTCTAACGCCTGAGCCCCACTGGCCCCTATCCACCAGCCTGCACTGTCAGCGTCTGAATGCCAGGATCTGGACTGCTCCTCTAGGATCCCGGCTCTGAATCATTCCTCCAGCCCCAAAACTAGGCCACACTGATTGGATAACAGAGAAGTGGCAATTTTCCTCCTTATTAAATAATCTAAACACTGACATTTTTATTCCCAATAGAAGAAATCTTGCAAGTGAGTATTTTTGACATAACTTCATAGAGTAACCAAAGAGAATACTTTTACCTTATTTCCAGTTCTTATATTCATAATGAATATACAAGGAATATATCTATAAAAAGAAAGGCGTAGCTAAAGTTTGGGCCCGGGGGTGAAAAGGAACACAAGGGGATGCTGCTGCTAAACTCCCTGGAGAAAGGCTATGATTCTCTAACACATTTTGGCACCCAGCTTACAGCAATGACACAGGATTTTGACTCTGATAATCAATCTAATGACCTTTCTGATGCTATCAAAATGATAGCAGCTTGTCAATGAATTATCAGGGCAAGAAAATGTTAGCAAAGATGTCTTCACTAACCCCAGCCTCCCCCTCTCCCACCATTTCCCATCCATGGAAACTTCTCTACACCCCTCAGGCATCCATTGCTCTTGTGCATCTGTGGCCAGACTTACTATCATATTTAATCTCAGGAAAGGATCAGGCCCCAGGTGTTGATTTCCCAGGGTGAGTATAAACCAAATTGTCACTAGTCCCATTACCACTATGAATATTGATTGCAGATTGCTTACTTTGTACTATGCTGAGTGCATTACATCTAGTATCTCATTGAATCTCACAATAACCACATGAGGGAAGTACTATTATCATCTCGAATTTACAAATAGGGAAGCTGAATCAGGGAGAAGCAAAGGAATTTGCTCAAGGACAGCTGGCAGTGGAACTGGGAGTATAATCCAGAAAATCCGACCCTTGAATCCATGCTTATCATTCTTATTCGATGCCAGTGGCTCTCAAACACTGGTTCGTGTCACAATCACTGGGGGAACTTGGTTACAAACAGAAAAGCCCAAGCCCTCCCCTTCTCCAAGGAGCCTGGGCATCTGTGCTCTCCTTAGTGGTTATTTTGATTCCCAGTGAAGTTTGACAACCGCTGTTGCATTGTTCTAACACCGTCACAGATGTTGACATTTAAGCCTTTTTAAAATCACAGACTGAAGGCATTCACAGGTGGAGTCAGACAATAGTGAGGTGGTTGGGAAACATTAAGGACATAATGAACGTCTTTCAGATTTTCATGGTCTTTTTTTTTTTTTTGCCATTATAACCTCTAATCTTTCTCTGAAGGAGCATTCCATTCAAACAGGTCAAAGAGCTCCAAATGAGTAAGCCCATTCCTGCCAAAATCATCATATAGTTCCAAGGTTCTTCCCAACAGTGAGGAATTTATGACTCAGAGGGAGACCAACGTCACTCACATGTTTTCATGAACGGCTTTCATCGCTTTTGCCGCAAGGCCCATGTTCCTTAACACCTCGGTGTTGGTGTGTGAGTTTTCCAGGGCTTCTCTCTGGAACTCAATGGTGGAAAGTGTGCCATCAATCTGTGCAAGCTGCTTCTCAAACCTCTTCTTTCTCTTTAGTGCCTGCAATGCAGCTAAATAAGGGAGAAGCCACATTTATAAGGAGAGAGCCCAAGTCACTTACTCAAGAGACATTTGCTCAGCACCAACCACAGCCTCAGCATTGTTGATACCTACAGACAAAGAGGATACCAAATAAATCTGAGACACTTAGGGGTAACATCTGTCCTTTCAATCATCTGCACCAACCACCACTCCCTCAAACATTTAGTTATTCTCCCAAAGATCTGGCAAGTGTAAGAGAATGAGAACTCAATTTTCATATTCCAGAAAACATACCAAAGAAGTGTTTCTGTCTGCATAAGATTTTATAAAAAGGACAGATGAAAAATACGAGTGAAAATCCCGCAATAGAAAATCAAAACTTTAGAAGGAGAAAGGACCTTAGTGACTGACTATTCTAGCTCCATCTCCTTATTTCAAAGACAAGCTAACTGAGACCCAGAAAAAGTTATGTGACTTGCTTGAAAGTAGACAGTGAGTGGCAGCTGGAACCTGAACCTAGGATGTCGAGCTGCATGTCTTGGTCTGAAATGATTACAAGATGGCCAGTACAAGATAATAATGCAAGTTTTGTTTGTAACCTTTTTTATTTCCTACTTTCTCTCTCTTCTCTTGGGTTCAGCTGTTTGCTGATCTCGGCCCTTCTCTTTCATACAATGGCTTTTCCTCAAAACTCTTCTGATCTTCTATCACAGCTTCATATTTATAAACGAAAGACTAGAATAGTTAGTGCATGGAGCTGTGCCTCTTGTTGAGATGTAAGTGTGTCTTTCCATGAGGCCTCTCTCCTGAAAGACAAGGCTGCCCCAGGCTCTGGAGAAGCAGTGGGTGGGGTGCGCCGACGGCACACCTTCCATGGGTAGGCAGCAAGTAGACAGGCCGAGGATTCCTACAGTTGCCAAAGAAAAGCTTTATTCTGTGTGTGGATCGTTTTCCTCTATTTCCCTCGTGAGCTGTAACTTTCCTTCCCCACCCTCCCTGCCCACTGTGGAGGTCGAGGGTCATCTCAGCCTCTGCTCTGCTTCCTTCTCCAGGTGTAACACCACAGCTTAAGTCCTTGCTGAATGGCACTTACACTTTCTTTATAGAACAGTTTTTATTTGTTTAATCTGTCCTGCAGGAAAGAACTAAAAAAAGGTCATCTGGCACAAAGGTCTTTCTACAATATCACACTGTAGACAGGCTCGTCACATTAATGGCCAGAGCTGTCTGAGGGTTTTCTCCCACACAGGGAGAACAGCTAGTTGACCTCTGTGCTCCCACTCTGCCTGTGAATCCATATCTACTGCTGCATTTATCACACTAGATTACAATTATTTGTAAAATCTATTCCACCCACCCCACCTCCACTACACTAATTATAAGCCCTTGAGGGAAAGACATGGCTTGCTCCTCATATGTTTCCCCAGCACCTGGCCCAGTTCCTGGCACATGACCAACAAAATACATCACAAGACCTAATATTTACCGAGCATTTCCTATGCCAAACTGGGGCTAAGTGCTCTATGTGCATTATGTCATTCATATCATTAACTCTGACAAAACTCCAAGAGTAGGTACTACCATTGGCCTATTTTACAGAAGATGAAGTGAATGAATATTAAATGGATGAATGTGATAATTTTGTGCACCGTGACATGGTATAACAGAAGGAGTTGGCCTTCAAGGCCAGAAAGTGAATCCTTCTGCCTTGACTTAATAGATGTATATTCTTGAGTAAGACTCTTCCCTGCTTTGAGCTTCAGTTTGTTGTTCTGGAAATGGGGATTATAATCCCCATGAGGCTGGGTAAATTGTAAGAATTAGTGATAATTTATGGAAAACACTTTATACAATCCTTGTGTTTGGTAGGGACTTAGCAACTAGATATTATTATTAATAATAGTGATTTATATAACATTCACTAATTAATGAGATTGTATATCTTATTTCTGAGACGACTGAGCAGCAAGTTACCCGATTTTTCACCATAACTCATAACAGGAAGATAATATTACAAAACAGCTCCACACTTCAATAGGTGCAGGAACATCATGCTATTCAGCAGAGTATCCTAAGAAGCTAAACTCCAAATAAGCATCCCCACTCAACACACCCAGAACTGGAATGTTCCAAGTGTGTCTCCTCCCTGTCTTGTCAGGCTGGTTCAGTGTCTACACTCATTTGAAACCCAGCTGGTACCTATGACCCAAAAGCATTCTCCTTTTGTAATTTTTTGAAGTTCCCCATTAAAAAATATGCCATCTTTCCTAGTAAGAATTAATTGTAGACTACTTTCTGAAAATCAAGAAATGCAACGTGGTATAAAGGATGAGGGTTTAGAGTCACTAGACTTACATTTTAATCCTACCTCTACCCATTAATAACTGTGCATAATAACCTTGGCATGTGACCTTAACTCTTCTTAAGTGATGTTTCCTCACCTGAATAATGATACTAACAACAAGAACAGTAATACCTAGAAGACGACAATGGAACATTGTGCTCTGGAGGTAGGTTGCGTACTTTCAAATCTGAGCTCCATCTGTCCACAGTCATGAGGTCTTACCTATGTTGCTTATTGGAAAACAGGGATATAACTCATTCAGTTGCGGAGGATTAAATGAAATAACATATGTAAAGTGTTGAGTGGAGTGCCTGGCACATCATGAGTGATTACTAAATATTATGGATCTTCATCATCATGACAATTTCCTTCACAGGGTTGTCAGACCCACATGATGGGAACCACATGGTACAATGCCTAACCTCGAAGATATTTGTTATTAATAATCATACGTTCTGGTCTACATGCAATTTTAAATTTCTGTTAACATATGGTTTCTGCCCTTCAACATATTTGAGACAAATTTGAAAATTCACCAAGAGTTGAGATCTCAACTTACACTATAATTCCCATACCACAAACTACAGATTGGCGTATGCCAGAGTCCTACACTCAGGGGAGTCAGGCAGGAGATGAAAGAAGGTGAAGCAGAGAGAGGTTACGGGGAAAGGCCCACTCTGTTTTCTCACCTGTGAGGGAGAGGGAGAGACAGGAATGTTCCTCTTTTATAACAATACAAAACAGTTTAAGAGTGACGATAAATGGCAGTGGACACGACCCTAGGATCAGGGAGTCAACAACAGGAAGAAGTGGGAATCGGGTCTAACAGCGTAAGCCTGATCCAATGGAAGTAACACTGCGGGGCTCCAGTTCACAGGTGCCAGGCAGACTGCAGGCCCAGCCTTCCACACGTTCAAAAGTAGCAAAACATCTGGATTTGCATGCAAAATCCCCAAATTTAAAAGCCGATTTACAGTTTTCTGAAAACCCGATGTGAGCAAAACCACTCACATTTTCGCATAGCTAGATCTGGCCCCGGAACACCTAACACTTCTTGCGGCTTCAGCCTGGCACAGTAAGCTTCTCCCAAACACCAAGACAAGAGGCTCTGCCCCCAAGAGCCAAGAAGCGTATGTGCAGTCACCCCGTGAGCTGCTTCTCACAGGAAACGATGATGCCATGGGCCCCCATGAGGCGGACAGGCTCTGACTTCGTTTTCTAATAAGCAATTTGGGAAAGAAGCAGCTGTATTTTTTCAAAGACATGCAACAAACACTGCAAATCAAGCATTGCTCCTGATTTGGCAGAAAAGGACATTTTTAGAGCCATGTAATTCAACCCATGAAGAAGGTGCAATTCAATCTCCCACACTCCTATAGGAGCTTTGAAGTAGCTGGTGTAATGTGGATAACAATCCTTCTAGCAGAAAGGGATCTACTGTATCCCACTGTGGGGGAGAAAGTGCCAGGGCTTCTATCCCTTCACCTACGAGTTAGGTTCCCTCAGCAACGGAGCTGCAGAACACGGCCCCGTGGGCGCTGCTGCACAGGGAAGCACGGAGAGCCCCTACTCCAGCCAGAGGACTGGACCGAAACGTAAGAACTACCCACCTGAACCAACACGCAAGCAGCCCTGTGCAACTTTACTCCACTGAGCTGCCAGCGGAGGAAGGCTTTCAGTCCCCCATAAAAATAACTCAAAATAGCAGAACAGAGTTGCTGTTTCATTGATCATATAATATATAGGGTATCTTGGTTTTAAAAGTCAGTCTGCTATTCTTCTCTCACTCGGGGTGTATAAATGTGTGCATTGTTAATCCATTAGTTGGCAAAAAGGAAGAACCACCATGTCCGGTGACAACAGACAAATGTTTGTGAAGCCTGGCCCATCACTGGATGAATGGATGAAGAAGATGTAGTATATGTATACAACAGAATACGACTCAGCCATAAAAAAGACAAAATCATGCCATTTGCGACAACATGGATGGACCTTGAGGTATTATGCTAAGCAAATTAAGTCAGATGGAAAAAGTCAAATACCGTATGATTTCACTCACGCGGAAGATAAACAAACACATGGATAAGGAGAACAGATTCGTGGTTACCAGAGGGGAAGGGAGTTGGGGGAGGTGAAAGGGGTACAGGGGCACATATGCATGGTGACGGATAAAAACTAGACTATTGAGGGAGGACACAATGTAGTCTATACAGAAACGGAAATACAGCAACGGACAGCTGAAATATACACAATGTTATAAACCAATATGACCTCAATAAAATAACTGAAAAAAAAGAAACTGCATTATGACAGCTCTTCTCTCTCCCAGAAACGGCTGATCTCTAGAGAAGGCCTGAAAGGTGAGGCTCGGAAGAGTCATCCCAGAGAGTGCTCAAGGTGACACGGCCACGCAATTGGTTATGTCCTTGTCTGCTCTTAACTGGGAAGTCTCATCATCGTGTTTAATCTGAGAAACTTTAACTTAAGCCCTGTTCTTACTCACATACAAATCCCTTCCTTAATTAAACTGCACCTTCTATTTATGGCACCTTCTTTTAGTTCTCAAAACACACGATCTGAATAAGCATCATCACAAGCATTTCACAGACAGAATAAAAACAAAATTTTTCTGTTCAAAGTCACAGGTTAGGCTGGAAACAGCTGGGGGAATATTAGAAAATCCTA